AAAAAAAAAAAGAGAGAGAGAGAGAGGGAAAACCAGCATTGTGTGTAGTTTGTACTGTCTGTAATTTGTTGTTTTCTACTACGATAAAGACTTCACATGACATGAAGACTGTGTTTAATTTGATGGGTAAAAGAGAGCCTTATTATTATTATTATTATTATTTTTTAAATCTATTGCATCAGACTGCCGTTGCCGTCTGCCTTAACCCAAAATTTTTAAATGGTGTTAGGTTTTTTTTTTTTTTTTTTAAATCTTTTTGGCCTCTTCTGTCTGCGCCGCGCAAACACTAGCCTTTGCAGACTGTTTATTTTTTTTTGAAGACTTCAGACCTAAAAATGTCTGCACGCCCCTTCTTGGTGCAGATGTGGACCAGAGTATTCTAACATTTTTAAATATCTTATAACCTAAAAAAACACATATATCTTTAATTTTTTAGTTTTTTTGAATTTATATTTATTTCAACTTTATTAGTGATAAACAATTTGAAAAAAAAGTTACAATACTTAAAAAAAAGTTTGACGACACAAACATGATATTTTTGACAAATTTATAAATAAAAATTTATTACAATAATGGTCGTTGAAGTTATTTATATAAATATGAAAAAAAATCATAATATATTCTTATATTTTTTGTACCAAATTTTATAAAACATTATTTAATATAGTATCATCAATTTCTTGGAAAAATATTTATGACATGTTTTTAATTGATTTAATTGAAAAAATACAAGTTTATTTTTATTCATTTATGTATCAAATTCTTTGATTGCTAATTACAATGTTTAGGTATAACTTTACGACCAAAATTGTAGGTTTTTATAAAATATATATGTTAATTTGTATTATTTTTATTTTCACTTTTTATATAATAATATATAAAAGTTGATCTAAATTTGTTAATTATTTCTAACAAAGTCATAGAAATATTAAAAAATCACTTTGTAGTTTAAAAAAATCAGTTTATTTAGATTTTAGTTTATTTTAGTAGTCTGTAATGTTAAAAAAACAAATAATCTTCTTTTTCTAGACCGCAGACATTTGGTCTATCTCTTCTGCTGCAGAGGTCCACAGATGTGGTCCGCAAACTACATGCATTTTGGCTCAGAAAAAACAAACAACACCTTACTCTTGCAATATTCAAGGCATATGACAAGTAATATTGTAATTCAACTTGAGAAAAAAGAGTGTCCAATAGAATTGATCAAAAAGTATCCCTTCTAAACAAACAAGAAGGCAAGACAAGACAAAAATGATCTAGAGACATTGGAAGATGGAAACTCGTTTGATTACTTAAAACATAAAATTATAACACAAGAAATAAAGCTAGATATACATCTATGAATTGGTGGACTTATCAATCGTGAAGTATATGTTCCAACGGTAATATTTATGAATTATGAATGGTTTAAATTAGTTCTTTGTTTTGAATAGTCTAAATGAGTGCTTTGTTATTAATTTAGTGTTGTCATTTTTTTGTTCTAAATGTGTATGTTGAATAACATTTTAATTTTATGGATTTTTCTTTTTGCATGCTTTGAGTTTGAGACTTCCATTTATAGGCTTTACATGGCAATTACTTTGATGAAAAAGTATCTCTCCTTTTTACTCGTTATCAAATGATTCAAACCCCTTATCAAGTTTTCCTTGTCCTTGTCATAATTTTGAAACACTTTAACCTCGGTTTTGTCATGAAATAACATTATAAACCTTTTGTATTTTCTTTAGAACGTTAAGTTTTACAATTTTTATAATGATGAAGCCATCATTTTTTATTAGCTTTACAAGTTGTATCAGAAGCAAAGCTTTTTAACCAAACAGAATCAGATTCAACTGATTCATCGTCATCATTTCTATGCCACCACCACTTTGCATAGCTTCCATTAACAATCTCAAGTTCACCATGCCCAAAACTCGCTTCCCTAAATACCGATATCGTTGGCTGTGGTTCTTTATACCTACAATTTACAAAAACAAAGTTTCCAAAATTATTCAACAATCAAAGCTGCAAACATACACACAATTCTTCATTTCAATTCAGTCAACTCACTTGGTAGCAAGACCTTCTCGGTTTCCCCCATCCCCAATTGTGATATACATCGGCCCGCAGTTATCAATTTCTTGATTGTAAACACGATTCTGCAAGAATAAGAAGTCATATGATCATCAATCGATTTATTGATTTACGAAAAAAAAAAAAATGATTTCAGTTCTGGAGCTATGAAGATGTGGCTTACAAATCGCTCGTAAGCGTGAACATGTCCTGCAAAAACGAGATCTACACGAGCTTTGTAAAGCAATCCCTCCATCAATACCCTCATATCGATCGACTCTTTCTCCCCTTGATGAGCGTAGTTAGAGTTATACCATGGAGCATGAACAATCACAACCAGCCATGGTGTTTTACTCCGATCAACCTTCTTCAAATCAGACTCCAACCATCGAATTTGGTCAGATCCATATCCAAAATCGGCGTAGGAACCCAACATGACGACGTGGACACCTGACACCTCAAACGAGTAGTACAAATTAGACGTGGATCCGCTCTCTTCATACGGCATATGCCACCTGGCGTTGTAGGCGGTGAACGGAGTGTGGTGGATGGCCGGAATTTTCTCAACCTCGTGGTTGCCTTGTGTCACCATCCACGGCCGGTGGCTCGCTAGCGGCTCCACCAGGCGGCCGAATGAGTCCCACAGCGGCTGAATCCTATCGGCGTAAGCCAAATCTCCGGGAAGCAGAAACACATCGTAATTTGATTGCGAGATGTGTTCGAGTGTCGATTTCGTCCATCCAGTTTGTCCAAGATCACCTGCATGCGTTCAGACTTTATATAATAAATAATAAATCCCCACTTCTTCAGATCATATACTAACCAAAAAATGCTTGAAATTTGTAACCTGAAACAGCAAATTTGATCGGAAATTGCGCCGGAGGAGTTTTGAAAGAGTATTCAGGGGTTGAAGATGAACCAGTGGCAAAAGAGTAATAATAGACTGTGTTTGGGTTCAATGGGCCTATTACGACGTCGTGTATTTCACCAGATATGTAAGTTAAATACTCGTAAGACGAAATTACCCCGGTAGCTGAGTGTTCGTATTTCCCTGAAGATGTACCGTAGTTTACGATGGGTGGAGTATGTTTGTCTGTAATCCATGAAATTCTCATTTTATTTTCACCAGCTAAAGATACATGAACCTGTTAAAAAAATCACAATTTATTATAATATATATCACTTTTTTGAAGTAATATCCTTTTTTTTTTAATTGTGTTGATTTAATAAGAAACAAAATATTTATATTGACCTATACATTTGAAGCACTTGGAAGACTTCTAGTCCAAGTATAACTTTGCCTTGTTGGCATTTAATATGCGAATTTAATTCTATCATCAACAATAACTTTTTGGGTATACATATGTCAGTGTGTGAAAATCCGACTTCTAAAAATTGATTGCGAATAGAAAGGTGATTTTCCGGAGATTTTTTTTTAGAAAAACAAAGTATTTTCTAAAAACTGAAAACCAAAACATGGTGTTTTGAGAAAGAAAATTTATCAAATATAGTTTTTATTTCGTAGTAAAATGTCATGAAATAGTGATTATAACTTGTGTATATGATATAATAATAATAATAAAGGAATAACATCTTATATATTCAAACTTTGGTGAGCGAAACTATCATATGCAACATTGATATTAACGAGTAGTATGTCCACAATGGTGATAGAAACAAGGACATTAAACATTGCAAAATAAGTAAGATTATTATATGTTTGTGATTTTTTAAATTAAATATCACTATTTACTCTAGTTTTTTATAGAAAAAAAAGGACAGAAAAGAACAAAACAATTATTATTCATAATTTTCAAGTTAAAAAAGTTCTTTTTTTTGTTCTGGATTGAAAAATCATGATTGGAAAGTTGACAATATTGTGTAAATTAGTAAATATTTAATAATTATGACAAGCTAACATATATGAAAGAATATCTGCCATTATAACTTTTCCTAATCCTATTATTTTCGGAAATTGAAATGAATTTGAAAAAAACAAAAATTAAAAATTAAACATCTACCATGCTCGTTCCTCCTAAAAAAATCTGTAGAACACTTTTTTTTTGGCCTCCTTTTCTCACCAAAAAAGAAAAAGGAAAAAAGAAACTGGAGTAACACATTAAGATCAAATGGAGATATATCCATGTTGAGTGTTTTCGTAAGTCAAATGCGAGATTGATCTAAAATGCTTTATACAATCGCCATTGTTAATCCATGAGGAATTTAGTGCGATGAAAGAAGAAGTAATTGATTACTTGTTGTGGAGTCGTCGGATCAGCATATGCGGCGACTGATACAGCAAAGTCCTCCCTAGGCGGAGGCCGGTCATATGCATGAGCAATTTCCATGGCTCCGGCGAAGACGACGGCCAGAATCATCAGCGACAAGAACTCCGGCAACCTCATATTAGAACCACAGAGAAAAAAAGAGAAAGTTGTTAGATAGATGAGAAATGGAGGATTGAGGAACTGGAGCTTTTAACTGTAGTTGTTGAATGCCGATAGGTGTTATTAATTGGGGCTACAAAACAAAACTAATGGTGATGATCAGGTGGTATGGTTTTGCATATCTGGTTCAGTTGTTTGAAATTTGTTTCCGATTCATACGATATTGATGACAACTACCTTGTCCTAATTTATGATGGTAAAGGATTTAATAGACAAGTCAAACTTTTTATTTGTTTTATTAATTTTATTTTATGAACCTTTTATTTCTATGAGAAAATTTCAAAACAGAAATATCAAAATGAGGGAATATGTCAAAAAATGATTACTCTTTTTTACTTTTTACATATTGGACTACCCGCTA